AAAAAAAAATACTTAATTTACAATGCAAATCACTTTTAGCAATAATAAAAGAAAAAACCCAAAGCATCCTCAAGTTGCTGAACAAGAAAACATCACAGTGAACCAAAGATCTTAGGTTGCACTTGATAACTTTTTGCACATTACACATGTACTTGTCAAAATGTACCTTACTGGCACTGTTGGTATTATCAGGTAATTTATAAAGAAGGGAAGTACCTCATTATCATGATGTGCCCATTGGCACAAAAGCATGCCAAGCAGGCGCTGTTACACATGACCACCACATCTGCTTGCAGTATAAAAGATGTCTCGGTGATGTTATGAACATAAAGGCAAGTCTGAGAAGGCAGTGAGAAGACTTTGGCTTGTTTTTCTGAGCAAATTATTGTATACTGATGATCTCCTGCTTCTTGGGATGGAGAGGGGCAGTTCATGACCAGTTTCCGTTTCCAGGATTTTTCATTTTCATCTAGGTTGTTTGGATCCTTCCAAACTTCATATGGCGGTTGCATTAATCCACCAGTTCGGTCCATACAGGAAAAAGTTAGCACAGCTCCTTTCAGTGAGAGGAATGTACCTATAAAAACAATTTTATGTCACTGGCATATGAGACTCTTTGTAAAACAGCTGGTAGTCATCCATAAGAAATACATGTTTTATATTATGATAATTAATAGTCACAATATTAGCATAATAAATGTTAATCAGTAGATATGTGAGCTCATCTAAAGGAGTCTACTGACACCAACCCTCTTACTATATTAATGATAAAATGGAAACCCTGAAACGATGAGACCTATACTGAGTCATAGAGCGAGTCAGGCTGGACTAGAGCTGTTTTTCTGACTCCTAATCCAGTATTCTTTGACTGTACTTTGTAGTTCCCCTTAAAATTATTTTTTAAAAAGCAAATTTAAGAAAACTTACAATTTTTTTTTATTGAAATGACTTCAGCTGAAAATAATTATGCCACTGGATTCCACTTATTTCATAGATTCTATCACTAGAAAGTGTTCTTCTGAAATTGAATATGCAATAAAAATTCTGGGAAATTTCAACATCTAGCATTCACACTAGCATTCTGAGTGTATGAAAAGGAAAACTATCTTTGGCTGTTAGCTGGCTAATTCATCTTTACACAGAAAAGTTTACTCACCTGGATTCTCCAAGGTGGAATGTCCATGCCAGACTGTTACCTCTGGGTGACTTTTACCAGCCTTAGAGGACTATAAAACGTAGGGATCGATTTATCTTTGTACATTTCCAGATTCCCTTCTAAGACTGCCCCATCAGACTTTTCCCCCTTTGTCCTTTGATATCACTCAGGGCACATGAGGGCTTACCCTGGGTTGATAAGCCTCAAACACGTACACGTGTCAGAAACTTGAAAAGGACAGGGTGATGGGTAAAGATGCATACCATTTAGAGACTTACCATTTATAAAGTGAAGTATACTTAAAACTTACCAAATTCAGAATAACAATTTGATGACTTAATATCTTGGTGGTATTAAATCAACTATAAAACTAAGCTTATAAAACTAAAAAGCCCTACAAGGGTAACATGTAGGGATTTAGGCTCTTTGTTCTGAGGGCTGAGATTTAAACGTACAGCTTTCCCACCCTGCAGGAGGAAAAATAATGCCCAGAGCTACGAAGATAATTTGATCAGAATTCATCTACACTTTTATAAAACCACACTCCCATAACTACCTACCATGGGAAGACATTCTAATTATTAATATCCTAGCATCCTCAATTTAGAGGTAGCCTGAGGTTTAAAGGAAAAAAATTCTATCTTTTGGAAACCGCTTTGCTTATATCTGATATGCATGTACTGTCAGCACCAATATAACAGTTGTTCAGCTGTTCTAGCCAAAATAATTGTTTTATTTTCTATTTTATAGTAAAAAAATGCTTTGAATGTATTCTATTTAGTAGGCTTGTACAGGGTTTAACTTTTCCCAACAATGTATTATTAATCTTTGTCTCTCTATAATATTTCTCAACTTACAAAAAGAAAAAACTTCAGCAATCTCCAAATTATAAGCTAGTTGTATTTCAAAAATATACTTACTTGTAAAGGAAACTTATATTTAAGGGCTTATATAGATAATAAGATCCATATATAGTAAATAATTCACCACACAAGTAACTAAGTCTTTTCTGTTAAAAGAGGTCTTGTTGGCTGTAAGCACACCTTACTACAGCTTTCCAAATCACCAACCATCTGCACCACGATCTTTACTCATTCAATCAAGAAATGTTTATTGAGGTCTCACTGTGTGTTCTGGCTCTGATTCAAGTACAGGTGATATAAGAGTCACTAAAGATCCCTGCCTGTATAGAACTTTCTATGTTAGAGAAAGACACTATATATGATACATAAGTAAGATAGTAGATATTAGGGGAAAAAAATAAAGCAGGAAAGGGGATGGAGATAGAAATTCTTTGAAGAAGGTGAAAATTTCAGAGTAGAAGGTGTTAGATTAAGATAAATGCATGTGCCTTTCTTCCCCGAATTCATAGGTGAAGCCCCCATCTGTGTAGATGTGTGTGTGTGTGTGTGTATGTATACACACACACACACACACACACATATATATATATATATATATATATATATACACTTGGTCTTTAGCCCCATTTCTGACAAAGAACTCTTTGCATTTCTTCCTACTGAGGAGAGGCACTTAGATGTCTTTGGTTATGTTAAAGAGGTAATTATGGGCATCACCTGAGGATGAGGACTGGTTGCCAGGGGAACCATCTAGTTTAAAAGATTAAATTTTAGGACCAAATTCCAGAGAGGGGGCGGGGTGATGGGGGCTGGCGATTGAGCTCTATAGCCAATGGTCAGTGAATATGCATATGTAATGACACCTCCTTTAAAACCCCCAAAAGTGGCTTTTGGAGAGCTTCCTGGTCGGTGGGCAGTGGAGGTGCAGGGACCTGGAGAGGACATGGACCCAGAGCCCTTCACATCTCTTCCATCTGGATATTCACCTGTACCCATTTTAATGAGCTGCTAAACTGTGAGTAAACCAGTTTTGTTTTGTTTTGTTTTGGGTTCTGTGCACTGCTGTAGCAAAGAGTGGGAACCTTAGATTTATAACCAAATGGTGAAATGTACTGGTAACAAAAGAGACTTGGTCCAGTTGACCTGGGAGGTGTGTGTGTGTGTGTGTGTGTGTGTGTGTGTGTTTTGTGGGACTGAAACTTTAACCTGTCTGTGGGTTCTGACGCTATGTCCCAGCACACAGTGTAGGAGCAGATTTAACTTGCAGGACATCAGCTGGAGTTGCAGAGAATTGTTTGTTTGGGGGTGGGGGGGAGCCTGTACACATTTGATATTAGAAGTGGGAGTGTGTGAGTTGTGTGAAAATAGAACTATACAGGAGGAAGGACTGGATTTCCCCTACTCAGAGGGAAGATTGTAGGTATTTTCCATTCCAGCACATAAAGTTGCTCTCGGTGGATCAGTATCACTGGGAGCAAATCCTTAGGTTCCACCCAGGACTGGGCTCAATAATCTGTGTTGTAACAAAATGTCCCGGTAATTCTGATTGAGGGTAACATGGATACTCTCCAGGTGCTTCTCCCCGACCCCCCCTCTTAAATTCAGTGATTCAATGCACTTCACATGTCTGTTTGGTTAGAATTTGTTGTCCACAACTACGGAATTAGTGTGAAAAGTTTCCTTAGAAAAGAGATGAGTGCTTTTTTGTTGTTGTTGGGAAGTTTGTGATTCCTGTTTAAATTTCATTAGCTATAGGTGTTTTCAGAATTCTCTTTATGATTCAATCTGGGTAGGTTGATGTTCTAGGAATCTGTTCCTTTTTTGTTTTTCCAGTTTGTTCGTATATAATCATAGCAGTCTCATTTTTTTTATTTGTGTGGTATTGTAATATATTTTATTTCTGACTGAGTATATTGATTTTTTTAACTATATTCTTACTGTGTTTTATAGTGGCTTGTAAGATAACTAATGCATGAATCACAAATGTTTGAAATGTATAGACTTGAAATATTGAAATATTTTAATATAACAAAGTTTCTCTTCAAGGTTGAGATTTGGGTACAACTGTGTTTCATTTAGCTAAATGATTGCCAGAGCAAGCCTGTTAACTGTTAACTAGTTTCATATTCTGTGAATTAATATGTGGTAGCAATTAATCATTTTCAGGTTTGTATGAATTATTTATCAGAGCTGAACTTGAAAGAGGTTGGATGCTAGCAAATATGGGACTTCTGAGTAGGTTTGTAAAAGTCTAGAGGGGAGGTCTAGAGGATATTTCTTTCAATAGGCAAAAGAACACTACTTGGAGATAAACAGTAGTAAAGGGGGAAGGTCATTTTTGAGATGCGTTTGCACTGATTTAAAGTTAAGAACATAAAATATGAAAATAAAAATATATCTAAGTTTATATAATATATCATCTGAACTGGTAAATCACAATATTTTTAGTACATAATATGAGTAAAATTTGTAGAAAATACATGATAAATCCGTTTCCATGAGTCTTTACTTGCTTTACATTTTAATTTTGCTCTACCAGGCTTTAAGTCAAATGAAACTACTACTGCTACCTCCAAACCTTTAATTGACAGTTGGGCTAATAAGACCTTGTAAACAAGGTACTTGCCTTATTAGGTTTAGAAATCTAGCACTTTGCTTGTAGGTTAGTGGTTGACAGTATTGATAATATTTAGTGGAATTAATTTGGTGATAGTTTTTCCCTTCTTCATTTCCCAAGGTTTCATTAGTATAAATTGCGTGGACAGCGTTTCTCATGTTGACTCTCCCTAAATGTATTAATCTGCACTTTGCTTCTTCCTCTTATACGTTAGTCATTTACGGTGTGCCCAGCACCACCACTCTGGAGGCAGATTTCTTATGAAGCTAGTGAAGCTGCACTGCAGGGCCTTCACTACTAGCATTGACTCCAAGGCTTACATGTAACAGTGTGTTCATAGGTTCATCCATTTTTATTAAATCTGTGAAACTAAAGTATTTTAACTAGTGCAAACTTCATTCTTCACTCTAGCTTTTCTCCAGTGAGGTGACATTATACTGGAAAGAAAAATATCCAGGGATCAGACAAGGGGAAATTGAGATGGGCCACATTTAATTTGGGGTTAGTGAGATATATCAATAGGTGGTTCTTTGTCACTACCATGTCTGGGTTATCACTTGCTCTGCAGGTATACAAATGGGTCTCAGGAAAATTCCCATGACCCCGATATTATAGCTCATGAAAGTGCAGGCCGGAGGTCATTTTATACCATTCCAACATTAGCAAGACTTGAAATTTGAAATGTATGGAGCCAAAAGCTTGTCTGTAGAAAATTCTTCCAAAGCTTACAGTTCACACAAGAAACTTGATACAGGTTTTCCTAAATTTAGTAACAACAACGTATACTTTATTTACCAGTGATATATAGGTATAGCAAAATGAGAGACAGGAAGTGAGGAAATGAGACTGACTGGACCTGGGAGCAGGTGCTAGAAAGTAATATTGGAGAGGTAAGACTGACTTTAGATCATTTTTTTAAGTAACAGCTTAAAATATAGAAAATATGGTGCGTGGAAATTAGGTGATGGAAATAATACTCAAGTAACACCCATACAGAGACAGTGATTAGAAAGTGAGAACAGAACTGGGATTTTAAATCTGTAGTTCATTTTTTGGTTCCTACTACTTTGTAAATGAAACATTTAAAAATCTTTCCAAATGAAACATTTAAAAATCTTTCCTTTAGATAAAATCTTATTTTCCCATAAAATCTTTGACAATTTTCTATATATTTTCTTTAAATCCTTTTTTATTTCAAGTACCTCCTTTCTAAGATTCTTTAGTTCTGTGTGCTTAGAAAGCTATTCCAGGGAATATAATAACTAAATAAATCTGGTGAGATTATTATTTTTTTTCATTGAGGTAGCATTGACTTACATTGTGTTGGTGTTTTGGAAGTTAGGAACTCCTCCCTCCCCTCAGTATCACCACCATAGTGCAACCTCTTATGTAATTACCCATGGTGCACAAGTCATTGTTCTCCTTTCCCTCTTTGCCCCAACCCCCCAGACTGTATGCTCAGGGATAGTTTTTAAATTTGTCATTATTTGACTAAAGGGATAGAAGTTTAGATAATATCATTGTACTATTAACGGAAAAGGAAGATGTCAAGCAGAATGTTCATTTGTTGTCCTGTTTTTGCCTTTTTTGTATAATATAAAATCAAAAATTTAAGAACCATTGTTGAGGAATAAAAAAGCATATTGCATACTGTTTTTGTGCTGAAAAAATGTCCACTGATAGGATAGCTTTTCCAACTTCTTCACACAACTAAGGCCCCAGTCTCCCTGCTGACTTTCCTGGTCAGTCACACATCTAGCACCACCCTATCTCCACCTTAGCTGTGCTGTGTTTCAACTGCATAAGCAGCAGGACTGTGCACTCCCACTTCAGATAACTCCTTTCTCAGAGTTCTGCCCAAGTCATCTTCCCATGATGCCACAATATTCTCTATATTCCTTACTGTAATTTTTGGCTTGTTTTTGTTCTTCCCTATAAATACCCAGTACAAGGATCACCGTTGTATTCCCAGTGCCTACTTCAGTAGTGTGGGTATGCTGAATGCTTATTGACTGAAGGGATGAATAAATTTCAAAATGAATTATACTCAACTTTAAGGAATTACTAGACTTGGATGTATTTTCCTAGACCGATTGCTAAAATGCTAGTCACAAAGTCTTGAAAGGAAAAAAAAAATTCATTCAGAACCTGAGTCTGTCATCCACCTCAGCAACAGCAATGAAGGAGGGAAACAACCTCCAATACCAAACCTGTTTTCATGTCTTCTATAGCTGAGAGAGAGGACAGAGTGGTAGAGCTGGTATGGAATGAATACTAAATATTGGAAAGAGGGTAAAAGATGGGAGTCCAGGAGTGAACTATGATGAAGGAAAAGGCAGAATTTTCAATTTCAATTTGAATTTGCATCGGTTACATCTATCATTTCTGACAAAACTACATCTTCCTTTTTTAAAAGCCTGTCATAGCTGTTAGGCATTCCCTTTTTTCATGGTTAACTATAAAAAAACAGATCTGAAACCAGTTTCATAGTTTTCTCTTTAATAAGTATCTCTTCTTTAATTAAACTTTCTTTTTTTAAATTTTAAATATGGGGTTACATTATTTTAAGAGCAATTTTAGATTTACAGAAAACTTAACAGTTTCCATATGCTCCTATTATGCTTTCATCTAGTATTAACATCTTCTATTAGGATGGTACATTTGTTATAGTAGCTGAATTGAGATTGCTATATTAACTAAGGTCTTAAAATAATGAGAAAATAACAACATTGAAACTTGGAGAAGACAGCTTCTTGTTATCTCTTTAAATGAAAAGAAAAACTTTGCAAATGTTTACAAATCAGTTGCCAAAATATTAAATCTATACTTATTTTTTTACCTTGCCATCATTTTGCTAAGAATGACAAGGGACTTTCCAGAAATATTGAGGGATCTGTTAAATTAGTTCCAGAGACCATTACTGTGCTTGTAACACAGAAAACCACATTTACTGGAATATCATCAGAAAATTGTTTACAACTCAGTTGTAAACTTGTGTGTACAGCGGTTTGACTTTTCCTTAAAACTTGCTAGGAGTGCCTGGCACATATTAGGCATTTCATACATATAACAGCTTATTGACTTAAATAGTTGAGTGAATTAACACTTAATAATGCATTATGATCTCACCAATCTGGCCCTTCCTTGGTCTGGTGATGCACATGTGAGGAGGTATGATGAGCCTATTTTATTTCTTTGAATCGCATACAATGCTGTAAACCAGTGTTACCTCAGATAAATTTTAAAACTAATTGTGTATATTCCTTAAAATGAGGAATACAATAAAATATATATTCATTGTGAAATACATGTCTACTATTAGAATACAGTGGGCCTAATATAAGTTTTAAAATACAAGCACTTTTGGGGAATATTGTGTCCTCTCTCCCCGAGTCATATGTTGAGGGTCTAGCCCCCCTACCACAGAACGTGACTGTTTCAGACAGAATTTTTAAAAAGATGATTAAGTTAAAATGAGGCTTTTGGCGTGTGCTCTGATTCAAACTGGTGTCCTTCTAAGAAGCGACGAGAGTGTACCAAGACACACGAGAGATGTGTGCAAGGAGACCACCAGATGAGGGCATGTGAGAGGTTATCAGCCAAGGAGAAAGGCCTTGGGAGAAACCAGGTCTGTTGATACCTTAATGCTGGATGAGTAACCTCCAAAAGTATGAGTAAGAAGCATTCCTTGCTTAAGCCACATACACCACAAAAAACCTTGATACGTTTTTCTGAATTTGCCATGATACCAATGGTAGAGTTAACTCTTACACCTATAATAAGTAGTAATCCACCTATATGAATTTAGTGCACCAGAAGCAAAGAAAACATAACTACATAAATTGCAGTACTATAATGTTAAAATAAAGTTCCTTTTCCTACATATTAATAGATTTTTAAAATGTTTTACATATAGTTTTACCATATAGAGGAAAGAGAGCCAGGAGTTATTGATAAGAAATTTTAAAATGCAACATATACTTTAGCAGTGATATTCCTAACTTAGGTGAAAATTCTTTAGTACTAGGATAAAAGAGGAGGAAATTTTGTGGCAGGTCTTTTAAAATAAGATGGGAAGAGGATCAAAGACTTCAGAAAGCTACTTCAAGTAAGACCACTTGTTTAATCATTCTGAGTTCCCCAAAGATGATGTATAAACACTCAGAGGCTCTGATCCAGCATGCAACGTTGAAGAAATGCTTCAATTTATTTAAAAAAATTAGCTTTTGCATTAAGGTTTCCCTCAGTGCTTTACACACACTTATTTTGCAATGTAGTATTTAGGTTGGAAGGTCTATAGTTACACAGAAATGATTGTTTTATCCTGAAGGAAATGTAAGTTGTAACATAGCGAATGATTTGGTAATTTCTCAGTAGTTCTAAACACAGTATTTACAATCTTTATCCCAAATGTTTATAGACCTTGCAAATTTTTTTGTCTAAATTTGAAAAAGTAGCAATGAGGGAAGAAAAACTCTTACCGCTTGGCAATACCATGACTGGCTCTGTAAATCTCTGTTCATCTGCTGAAGGTAGATTGAGGGAGAGGATTAACACCATTCCCAGACTAGTTCCAACAAACAAACACGGGGAGATGGTGGGATCATTTTTTCGAGAAAAGGACTCCATGAAGTATAGTGCTGTAATTGCTTCTTTAGAATCTTTGTCAATACTGGAGATGCTGGAACTTCTAGAACGATTGTAGGAATTTTCTCGGCTTTCTACGGAAATTTACAAAACAGAAATGACTCGTTAGTGTGTTTCCAGAAAAAGTAGTCAGATTTAACATATGAAAACTAAAATTATGAGGGGGAAGTTGTATTTGATTCTTAACTGATGTGGAAAGCAGCTGATCCAATTACCAGCTTATTTTGAAGGTGGAAAGACTGCACTCCAAAAGTATAAATCATAAATTTGGGCAAAGATGGACCAGAACTTGAGTTTCCAGAGTTTCAGTTCATCTTTTTTTTTCTCTCTACATTATTTCACAAGTTAAATGGAAATCTCTAATCTGAAAAAAAATTTTTTTACTAAGTAGTTAAGGTTATAATTTCTGGTACTAAATTATGCTTCCCTCTCATCTCTCTATTGTTAGAAGTTTTTCAGTGATTTCTTGGCATTTCCCACTTACAACACTGTGTCACAAATGTTTTGTGGCAAATGCATTTTCCTAACATGATTTTTGGTTTAACTATATCTGGACTAATTATAATTGTAAAAATTGAACTATTTACCAAGGCTCAAGAGCAAGTGTTACCTTCCTGAATTAGTTCAAGCTGCCTACTTTTAATTCAAATCCAGTCCAAATAAGGAGTTGTACAGGATGCCATCCCAGTAGTAATGGTAATCTTGTCAGAGGGTTTCAGCCCCCTTAGAGGAAACAGGGTAGTGTTAAGTTCTCCTGCCCATAAACACTTGCACAGGTGTATACTCCAGCAAGCATAAACTCACCACCTCAGTTAAACAATATTAAGGAAGTTGTTTTCTTAAAATCAACCACTCTAGAGCATAAGTTCCTCATTCTTTACTCTGCTTTTCCTCTTGATAAGTACAAGTGTGACTCAATTATTTTATTTTTTAAAGATTTATTTATTCATACAGAACTGGGGTACAGGCCAGAGATGTGGAGGGTGAGAGGATTCACCAGAGACAGAGCGGGGAGCAGAACAGGCAGATCGAGGAAGTACACTGCTGAGGGGAGCAGCGGGCGGGTCAGGAGAGGTCTGCCACACCATGTGGATCTCCTCCGGGGCAGGCGGGAATCGAACTCATGCTGAAGTGGCTTAAGCTTCTTAGTGCTGTGCTTTAACCCACTGCACCACCAGGGAGGGCCTCAATTATTTTTATGAAGCGACTAAGTTTCTCAAATGATTCTTTCTCTAGAAAATGAAATACAGTATTCTTCAGATCCCCCTTTCTACAAACCCTTAGCACAGTTGTAAAAGCACTTGTCATAGAATTTAGAGATGGCAGGGAGCTTGGCTATAATCTACATATTTTATAGATCTGGTGACATATATTAATAGAATTAAAATAGTTTTCTAGAATTCAGGGCAGGTTAGAGGGAGAAGTATTCAAAACTCAAAATTGCCAACTCTCAATCTAGTGATTGAGTTCTACTTCTTTTAACCTTTACATTTTTTTAAAACATTCTTAGCTATTAATTTACCCAATGTTTCTATTTATGGTTTATCAACATTCAAAGTGACTCAAACACCTCAGAGATCACACTGTATGTCAATGAATTAGATATAGTATATCATAATATTAAAGAAACAAAGGCAAAAACAAGTTTAATAAAACATTTTCTGAAGAATAATTTAGATAATTACTTTTTTGAAGCTTATTTGAGGATTGGTAATAGCATGGGCCCTATAGCAAACCTTTCTAAGATTATGTCTTCCTGTTTCTCACCCCAGAGTTCTTTATCAGCAAAGCAGTAGCAGCAAAATTACAAGATTTTCTCCTAAAAATTGCTCACCATCCACCTCTTGTGCTTACCTCCCTGTACCCATACTTATTCCTAAATAAGCAAACCTTTTCAAAAGCATGGAGATGAAGGTTATGAACTTTATAACTTACATATTTTCTTTTCCTTGGTCACTCTCACTTGACAGGAAATAGTTGCAAGACATTAAACAACTGGACAGATGGACACATTAATGGGTTTACCACTGAGATGGAAAGAAACTCAATTGTGATTGGGAAGGTAGAGAACAGCTTAAGGCATAGGTAGGTCTCCCTTTCTAGAGAGGAAGTGGGACCCTACCAATAAGAACATTTAGATCTAAGAGATGAAGAAAGTAGTGTGATGATGAATGAAATTTGAGTAATGGCAACAGGCCTTCAGTTACTCATTACCTAGAGTAGCTGTATTTTTTACATATAAGCTCTTTTCCTGTTACCCTGCTCGTCACGTTTTAATTGCATCCACAAAAATGGTATTTTTAACCTACCTTCCGTTGTAACTGGGAGTGAAATTTCCATGCAAGCCGCTGACTGTGCTTTTCGAAAGGGTGGTCTTCCAGGACCCCAGCGATTTACCTTTGAAACATCAGCACTAGAAAGACGTTTCCCAGAACTGCAACTCTGAGAAGTTGGACTTGTACAGTGTCCATTTACATGATCTGTACCAAGAGGAGGAAAGCAGCATAAATATCATAATTGAATCTTACTATAAATGAATCCATGAATGTAGAATAAAGGAAGAAAATTAATCATTTCTCAAACCAAACCAAAGGAAGATATCCAAGTTCTTGCTATTTTAAGACTTAGCCACAATTTTAGTAGTTAACCAAAATTTTATAAACTACTAAGATTTATTTTTTAAATTTGACTTAAGTTTATATTCTATCACTTGAGTGGTATTAAACTTTCTTTTGCATAACTTAACTGCATCTATTTATTTCCAAGGTTTAGGAGTACTTCAAGTGCACCGTTTAAAATGCAGAATGAAAAGTATCTTTATGTACAGTTAAAAGTGATTTTTAAGATTATTAACTCTGCAGCTAGACTACCTGAGCACAAATCCCAGTTCTACCATTTATTATTTGTACAAATTACTGAAGTGTTAATGCTTAGTTTCCTCCTCTGTAAATTTTCTACTTAATGGAATATTTTGTGATAAAAGGTGCTGGTTACATAGTAAACTCTAGATCAAAATTATTGCCAGACCTATTTCTGAGTATTAAAACAACATATGTCTGAGACACAAGCTCTAAAACATTTTAGTTTAAATTTACTATGTTATAACTTAAACACTTAAGGTATATTTCAGTGTCATTATTTTCTGAATGCTAACAAGTCATCTCACAGTTCTGCAGTATTTAGAATTTTGAAATGTGCTTCTTTAGTGACTCAAAAGATAATAGCATTAAATGGAGAAGAATCATGTTTAGTGTCCATGTCGGACATGGGGAACTGGCACCCAGGGTCCACGCCTTTGTAGCCTTTCTGTATTGTAGAGTTTGAAAACTTGGACATTTCCTGGATTCCCTTGCAACTAGTACAAGGATGAGAATTAAGTTTCAGCAATAGTAGTGTTTTACTAATTTTTAAAAGATGAAAGCTAACATTTATTTAATATTTAAGTGCCAGGCATTTTATATGCATTACTAATTTGTTCACAACAACCTAAAGCAGGTGCTTTATTAGCCCGATTTTACATACAAGGAAATTCAAGTTCAAAAAACACGACCTCCAGCGTTATCTAGTGTTACATAAATAGTGTTCATGGAAACTGAACTTGAATCCAGATTGTTTCATTTACTGTGTATAAGCTTAAAAACTGGGCCACAAGGTCAGTTAGAATATTTGGGAAGGGTAGTGAATTAGAAGATATGCTTAGGATTTAGGAGTGGCTTACATAATTCATGCACATTAAGACCCAAATCTTTGGGGCCTCTGTGGTGGCATAGGGATGAAGTCTCAGCACTACTACCTCAAGTTCTAAATTCAATCCCCAGCCAGGAGCTAACCCACATATGGTGGCGCAGACCTCTCCTGTCTCGCCTGCTGCTCCCCTCAGCAGTGTATTTCAGTACATCTAACTCTTCTGCTCCCCACTCTCTCTGGTGAATCCTCTCACCCAACCCCCACCCCATCTCTGGCTTGCATCTCAATTCTAAGCAAAAATTGTTAAAAAAAAAAAATAAAAAAGGAATAAAAAATTTAAAAAGAGACCCGAACCTTTGGAGGTCAATCATCTTTCATGCAAACATTGATCTCAGATTTCCCATATAGAAAAAGATCCTATAATGAGTTAGCCATGAGAAAACTGAAGAGGTCTACACCTCCTTTACTATCAAATCTAGCCTTTAATTATGAAGAATATGAAGGTCTGGTGAGTTAGAAAATGGCAACAGTTTGGGGGGGTAAAGTTGCAAAAATATACCTCTTAGGAAAATTGTCCCTGTAACAGATCTGATGCCCTGTCCAGGGTGCTTGGATTGCCCAGGGAAATACCAGATGCACTGCGGTCCTGATCACACTCAGACTAGAGCGTATGGCAGAGCTCCAAGAAAGGAAAATTTGTTTACTTGGAACTCTTGGACTTGCCAAGTCAAAATTCCTGCTAAGCTATTTCTTTTGGAGGCTGTCTCATATGACTATTATTGAATTTCAGTTCACAACAGGATACAATGAATTATTATTTTACATACTGATTTACCCCCACCCCTTGTTGTAGTGGCAAAATTTCCTTACATTTGAATCAAGGTCAATCAGATATTACTGTACCTGATATTACTGTATCTGGACAGCTCAGAGTATTTGGCTACATCCTTCTGTTTTTAATAGAGCTGATTAACTTAACAAATTTTGTAGTTGGTTTTTAAAATATGTGGAAGTAAATTAACATTTTAAACTTTTCTTGCAACACTAAAATTAAAAAAAGATATGAGTTGATATAAAGTATATTAAAAGATATTTAATTGTAACCCAGACACAGTCCTTCTAGCTATTCATGTTAAAGAAATAATGCTAAATACAAAAGAAAAACGAATATTCGTGGATTATACATACGAATTGGAAACCAGCTAGTCTTAACAATTAAGTATATGAAAGGTACATTGTGGTATTTATCTCCTAATAGAGTACTATAACTTTCAAAAAATGTTTCTAAAAAGCTTCTTGAAACTTGTAAATATGTCTCTGATGTGGTTTTGTTAGCTTTTACCACATAAAAAAAACTTCCAAAAGCATTCTTCTTTACATGACCTGGTTCTCTTGTACCTTTAAACTGAGATTTAATTAAGTTTATTTAAAGTAAATTGCAATAGTGACTTACTGAAAAATGGTTTCTTGAAATTCAGTGAATTATTTTAAAAAAGATATTTGCCAAAGTTTTATAGAAGAATCAAATGGAAATTTAATTTAGTACTTGGCAAGTTAGTTTTATTAACTAAACTTGAATAGACTTTTGAAGTCCTAGAAAGCAAAATTAGTATTATTCCTATGTCATGAGGGTGATTATATGGTAAAATAAATGTTGAACATAATACTAAGTCAAAATAGTAGTGGATTTTGAAAACCATGAGAAATTAAATTAAGACTATGCATTTAACCATAGTAAATAAAACTATATCAAATATAGCCAGTATCAAGCAATGCCGAAGATATAGCTATGTACAGCACTAAGCTGAAATAGTCTGCATAGCTACGGGATAGCTGAAGTTGCAAATAATGATTACAATACAGTTACAGTAATGGGTAGCTGACATATAGAATATAACTTAAACCCAGTTTTTATCTTACCTCTTCTAATGTATAGTGAGCAACCACATGTTATTAAAACACAAACTGAATATGATTGAAACAATATTAAATGACTGAGGATGGAGGGGTAGAATAGGATGCATCTGGTGACTTTTAAGGGTGTTTATTAAAGAATAAATACATACCAATAACATTAAAATAGGAAAAATATGTATGTGTGTATATATACACACACACATTTATACACATATATATTTGCTTTAGCTTTCCTGAATGATTGTCAGCCAAGGGATATATCACACACATCTCCTTTTTCATGTTTCACAGAGCTGAGATAAAATACCCATATATTATGGTCAAAAAGAAAAGGCAATCTGAGAGGTAATATACTATATAGTTCCAACTATTTGACATTGGAAAAGGCAAAATGTGGGAATAATAAAAATATAGGGGTTGCTAGGATTAAGGTGGAGTGAAGAATAAGGTGACAAAGGATTTTTTAGTGCAGTAAAACTGTTCTGTATTGTAATGTATTAAACTACAATGGTGGACACGTGTCAAAACACCAAACATGAGTCCTATAAACTATGACTGTGGGTGATAAAGATGCATTAATATAGGTTCATCAATTATAACAAATATGGTACTCTGCTGGAGAATGTTAAAAGTGGGGGATACTGAAAGTGTGGGGCCGTAGGGAATACAGCTCTGTATTTCCCACTCAATTCTGCTATAAACCTAAATTTGCTCTAAAACATTAAAAAAAATGTATACATATCCCGCATGTTCTTCACCCACATTCCCCACCAGACACAACTAATAATTCAAAAATTCATCAGATTTTATCAGTTTTAGATAGACTGACTTATTTTGTGTGTATGAACCTACAGATCTGTGTAACTGTCATGTAGGTATGAGTTACTACACTGCAATTAAGATTTGGAACTGTTACATGACAAGTATCTCCAGTATTGCCCCCTTCAACCACACTACACCTGTCCTTTCTCTCATTTTGACAAACATCTCTATAATTCTGTTATTTCATTTCAAGGTAGTAATATAAATGGATTAATTTCTAAGTCAACTATTTTTTTTCCCCCACTCACCACAACTCTCTAAGATCAATACAAGTTATATTTATCAATATGGTCAGGCATTAGTTACTGATGAGGAAAAGTCACACTTTTGAGAAATGCACTGTCAGGTGATTTTTGTCATTGATTGAATGTCACAGTGTAATTAATTACATGGACCTAGATGGTATAGCTTGCTACATATGGAGACTATTAGCCTGTTAATGATAGGCCATTGTATATGTGGCCTATCATTGGCTGAAATGCCACTAATCATACATAAATGTAGTTTTTTTACACTAAATAGTTTGCTGTGGTATGATGTGCAGTTTATTTAACCATTCACCTGTTGAAGGATATTTGGTTTATTTCTGACTTTTGGCTATTAAAATTAAACCTGCCATGAACTCTTTATACATATTTTTGAATGCAGATCAGGTTTCATTCTTCAGAATAAGTAATAGTTTGCATATTCACCACAAGAGTAAGAATTCCAGTTGACCTGTATTATCCTATCATCATGTAATTGTGCCAATAATTTTAACGTTAGCTATTTTAGTGCATATTTAGTAGTATGAAGAGCACAATCCTGGCCTATTTGACTTCAAGAATATGGTCATCTAATCTGTACCTAGCACCTGTATAATAAAAATATTCTTATCTTTCCCATATCCATTTTTTTCTTTATATCTTTTTGCTTCTGTAAATATTAAATGTGACTGAGCAGATATGAGCTCTGATGGCAGAAAGGAGATCTTGCAGATACAAAGACTGATATGAAAATACAGATTTGATAACAGACTAATTAGAAACAAGACTGTCTTGCTCTAAGAGTTGCA